CAGTTTTATAAATCTGACCCCTGAACTTTTCCCCCTCACACCTGCGCTTGGATCGAGACTTTTCTCACAGACGGTCTGCATGTTGTGAAGGTGGGCTCCCAGTGCTGCTCCACCAACAGGGTTGGGTTGTGTCCTGAGTCCTTTCCTGTAAGGCCTGCACACTTACGAAGGCATTCCCACCAGTCATTAAAGCTGCAGATGGCAGCAGTGGTCACAGGAGACAATGACTCAGCATTCAGGCAGGAGGTCCAGCTGATAGTGTTCCAAGAACAAACTAYTGCCTAACACCAAATCCAAAACACACTTGAAGACTTCAGGAGAGTGATCCTGTGTACACGGTGACCGTGGGGAGAAGGAGTCCTTCAGGTTCCACCTCACCTGGTGACTCAACACGCTACAGAGACACAGCAGCAGCTGCACACTCAGAGTTCTGTGCAGGTGTGGTTTATAGGAGAAGTGTTAGAGTGATGGCACATTATGACTGGGTCTCAATTCAGGGGTTGCAGCCTATGTAGACCGCGGGCCACGTCGGCCAGTCCCTACATGGGCCGTAAGCCACCAGCGTGTAGGCTGAATAAACTGCTGTGAAATGAGACAGTCTAATCCACGGATGACGTACTGTATGTTAGCGTGAACCCGTGCTGCACTGATGATACATTTTATATCACATGCCTTAAGTTGTCTTTTCACAGAATAACTTCACAGAATTCAGAATTACTAAAAAATAAAAATACACATAACTAAAAAATAAAACCATTAATAATTTGGGTTTAACTCATTAGTACTTGTAATTATATTTGATTTAACATCCCATTGTAGCAAAGATTTCATCAGCTAAGTTGTTAAACTTACATTAATAGCAAATTTGTAATAAATCCATAATAAATTCACAAACCCCGCTGTAAAAGAAACAACAAAAAACCTCAGCATCTTCAGTTTCCTGTTTAATTTGCCGAATTTCTGGTCTCCCCCACCCAGCAAAAACATGTACAAYWGGTTGCCTTCAGGCCCAGGCCTCCCTTGAAAAAGAGATCTGAGATCTCAACGGGACTTGCCTGGTTAAATAACGGTGAATAAATATTATTAGCTGCACAGGATACTCAGATGCAGGGTTTTGTTGGCCGCACGAGTAGGTGCCTATGAATTGGGACTCTGACCTCTCTGACCCCCGACATGGTTTGCTCAACCTTCTGCCTTCAAGCAGATGGTTCAGATGCCTCAATAGGACAAATAGACTTGAAAATAATTTTTTATTCTCTTTAATCCTGAACCATTTGAACTTTAAGATCCTGAAACACCTGAATTGAACAGCCACATTTGGCTATATTATCTTACGTTCAGTAAGCTTTTCAGAGGCCTTTGTTGAACCTGCTCCCCCCTCATGCAGTTTTAAGGACAATCCTATAAAAAGCTGAGCATTTATTCCAGTTGTGSTTTAATACATTTAACAACTGCAACAAAATATACAGTTCTACATCGCGATGGCTGGTAGAGCAGATAAAATGTCACAATAAACATTTTTTAATGTTAACACAACAAAAGACAGCTGCTGCTCGTTTATTGTATAACGACCAGCTTTTATCAAAAATACAGAGACTTTGGTCCAAAATCAGGGGCTGCATCCTTGGAAGTGAAGAAATTTATTGGGGTTTATTTAC